TCTTCTGGCCTGCTTCTTTGGGCATCCCTGAGTTGTCCCTGGGGCTGATTGCTCCTCTGTCTGGCTTCCTGGCTTTTATCCCCTTCCTCCTGCTCTTCCGGCCTGCTACTCTGGGCGGGCCTGAGTTTGTCTCCTCACCTAATCCCTTCGGCTGATTGCTCTTCTCTCTGGCTTCCTGGCTTTTAATCCCCTTTCTCCTGCTCTTCCCACTTGCTACTTTGGGCGTCCCTGAGTTGTCTCTCCTCACCTGTAACCCTGAGGCTGACTGCTCTTCTGTCCGGGTTCCTGGCTTTTATCCTCTTTCTCCTTCTCTTCTGGCCTACTAGGCATATGGATATCATCCTATCACTGACAGCATTGTGCTTCAGGATTGATCTTGAAACATTCTTTGTGACAGTGATTGCCACACCATTCTTCATCAATTTGTCATTCCTGGCAAAGTAGATCATATGGTTGTCTGATTCAGAATGGCCAAAACCAGTCCATTTCAGCCCACTGATGCCTAAGATATCAATCTTTATATGTTCCATTTCTTTTTTGAGAAATTCCAATTTTCCTAGATTCATACTTCATGCATTCCATCTTCCATTTTTTAATGATGTTTTCAGCTCTTTCTTCCCATTTTGAGTCATGCCAAAGCAGCTAATGGAGGTCCCAAAAGCTTTATACCATCCATATCATTAAGGTCACTCCTACTTTGAGGAGGCAGCTTTTCATCAGTCATATGCCACATCTGCAAATGGAGGTCCCAAAAGCTTTATACCATCCATATCATTAAGGTGACCCCTACTTTGAGGAGGCAGCTCTTCCTCAGTCATATTTTGAGTGCCTTGTGACTTGAGGGGCTCATCTTCCAGCATTGTATCAGACAGTGTTTCAGGGCTGTTCATAAAGTTTTCCAGTAATATATCAGATAGTGTTTCACTGCTATTTGTAAGGTTTTCACTGGCCAGTTCTTTGAGAAGTGGATGGCCCCTTCCTTCTCCTGAATCTGTCTCACTCTGGAAGCTCTGCTGAAATCTGTTCACCATAGGTGACCTGCAGGTATTTAAAATACCGGTGACACAGCCTCTAGCCTCACAGCAACACACAAGCCACCACAGTACAACAAACTGACAGACGAGTGGTGGCGTAGGAGGTAGACAGATAGATATGTGTAACTATATGAAAGAAGGAATCTGGAAGGTAAAAGTAATTATAATTGAATGTGTACTTATTGGGCTGTCTTTATCTTAAAATGCTCAAAACTTCACTTTGAGCAGGCTTTTAATCTCTATATGGGAGTATTTTTTTCATAGCCCAGGAACCTGAGATATAGAGATGTGAGATTGATTATGTTTCTTCATTATTTGAGACAAGTGTATATGCATTCACTGCCTTGCTTTGTTGGCTACTCAGGTTTGCTTGTGAACAAACTCTCTTTACTTAACCAGTGTTACAGTTCATTGAACTGTGTATTTCATACTTTGAATTAGTCTGAGTTACCTCTGATCTGTGTGCTCTCATACACTATATCTTGCAGCAAAATTATTTTAAAACTAAAACAGGACTTTTTGGCAAAAGCAAAACTTTTGCTCATAAAGTGAGGGATAAATGTAAAGTGATTGTTCTGATCAACATAGTCTCCAAAAATGAAAGCCACCTAATCAAAGTGAGCTCAGTTATTCAAGGACTATGGGGAAATTAATTTACTTAGTGTGATATTTTGGCTGCAAGGAGTGAGACAGAGAGTGACAGTGGTTAGGGACTTGCATTCTTGGTTCTTAACAAGTAGGTAGGGTTTCATCCCATCTGGTAAGGAGGTGGGTAGGTAGGGTTTCATCCCATCTGCTAAGGAGGTGGGTTATATCTTTGACCCATATTTGGGAATGGGAAAAACACTGCTAAATAAATGGTCTCCTCATTATCCACGTACATGCAAATAAGACATCTAAAGAGACATGGAAATATTCCTCCTGGGTGTCAACGGTAAGTAAATCCATAGGCTAGAACAGCTTGGTTTTCTTTCCATCTCTAGTAGTGGAGTTTTTGCTTTTGACTATGTATATTGACCACCTCTTTATTAATAGACGTATCATTGCAATTTAGAATTTTTCCTTTCACATGTGTAAAACAAATAGAATACATTTACTCTTTTGTGGGTTACTATGCCCAAGTTAGGAGCTCTGGTAGCATAGTGCCTAAGGCACTTGACTGCTAACCAGAAGGCTGGCAGTTCAAACCCACAAGCCACTCCTCGGAAGGAAGGTTGGGCATTCCTACTTCCGTAGTGATACTGCCTGAGAAACCCAAGGAGGGGTTGCTATGAGTCGGGACCAACTCGATGGCAAATAACAACAACAACAACATGCCCAAGTTAGGAGCCCTCATGGCACAGTGATTAAAGAACATGGCTGCTAACTGAAAGGTCAGTGGTTCAAACCCACCAGCCACTCTGTGGGAGAAAGCTATGGCAGTCTGCTTCCGTAAAGATTACAGCCTTGGAAACCCTGTGGGCTAGTTCTACTCTGTCCTACAGGCTCACTTTGAGTTGGAATCAACTTGATAGCAGTAGATTTGAGTTTTTTGGTTTTTAGGCCCAAGTTATTTCAAACTACAGAAGGAACCTCTTATATCATGACTCATAACTCATTATAGTAGGTTTCCTTATATTTTATGTTGAATCACATCTCCAAAATCTAAATCAAAAAAGAACTGACGAGTAGTTAAGTTACTCTAAAAGGTAGTGTTCAGATTTGTCATCCCACGCCAGCCCTATAGGGTGTCTTATAGTTTAGTTACCTAAAGTGTTTCTAAACTGTTCCCTTCTTTCCCTGCCCTCCACAAAAAAACTAAAAAGGAGGATGGTCCTGTCTTCCCAATAGCAGAGTTTATTAAACTCAGAAATAGAAGGTAAAATAGGGAAGAAAAGTGGCAGCCTAGGGCTGAGAAAATGAAGTCTTTTTGAGAGGGACCAAAGCTGACAGAACAATCTTAATTAGCCGTTTGTTATGGAGAAAATTTAGGAGGTACCATGTCGTCAGTCCCCTATGTGGTGGCTGAGTGACAGTGTTCAATTTAGTCAGCATAGAAAGAGTGTCCCGTCCTTAATCATTCTGCTGTCTAGATTTCTGTTTAATGCTTTCCTTTTGAAACTTCAAAAGATATATTTCTGCTTATTTGTAATCCTTTCCTAGTCTCAAATTCTGTAATACTGACCGATTGATTGATTTGTTACAGTTTGTTTAATGCTGTCATTCTTCCTATGTTCTATCATATGTTTAAGCCAGCTTTAGATAACTGTTTCTATTTTTTTCTCTAAAGATACATGTTTTAGATTTTGTCAGAGTATTTCGATTGATAAGAGCAAGCGGCTATCACTACATTCTGAGTGTGTGGCCTTCCTAATCAATGACATGTTTTGGGGTATGTTTCTTTTCTAGAGTGTCTTGCCATACTTCGTAGCTACAAAACTGGCTAAAATCCGAAGGCCCACTTTGGATAAGCCTTCTCCAGAGACATATGTGAAGTCTGCAATTAAAACAATAGGCTTGCAGTCCCGAACCAATGGATACCTGATCCATTCTCTCATGGTATGTAGATTTTTAAGTCCCAAATTAATATTTCTGTTTTGGCGTTCTCTTTCTCATTGAGTCACAAAATAGTATGTGATATTCTAGCATATATATTGTCTAGACATGCTGACATGACATCTCTGTTATTTCTTTAAACTTTACACTGGGTAACTTTAAAATCTGCCTATAAATAAAACAACAGTATGATAAAACAGGAGCCCCTTGATGGTGCACACTATTAATGTGCTCAGCCACTAACCAAGAGGTTGGAGGTTGGAGTCTACTCAGGGGCACCTCAGCAGGAAGGCCTGGCTATCTCTGTCCAGAAAATCAGACCCTGAAAACTTCGTGGAGCATAGTTCCACTCTACACACGTGGGTCACGATGAGTCAGAATTGACTCCACAGCAACTGGTGTGGTAGATAATAAAACAGGATTATATGCTTCAATTTAGCCCCAATTGTAGGCAATCGTTAGATATCTCACCTTTTTCTTTTCTTAGGGCTCAATAATCTCATTCCTGCCTTCTTGGATTTACTCCAAAGTGATCATGAATGTAAACAAGTCTACGCGATCTCACTATCTGAAGAAAAACAAGAAGAACTAAGCATTGATGACTGCGCTGAGTATGTTGGCCAGATGCTGCAGCCTCTGAGTGTGTCCTGCAGGGCACCCTCTGGTCTCCTAACCCTTCAGTTGTTTTAATTGTTACTAACGTGGTTCAATGTTGCATAATTGGGTGGAATATTAAGTTGATCTTAGAATACTACCAGGAGTTACTTTGAAATTTGAATACAAATGCTCCTATCAAATGGATGTCAGATTAGTATTAATTAGCAAGAACAGCTTAATAAGAAAGGGCACAATTACAGTAAATCACAGAGTCACAGTGTCAGACTTCAAACTCAACTCTTGCAGCTGGTCCTAAATGCCAATGATTGTTATCCTCCTGTTTTCTCTGAAACACACTTCAAAACGTCATGACTAGCTACTCCTTTTTGTTTCTAACACTTTGAGATTAGTTGGTTTGACTTATAGGAGGACGTACTATACTTGTCATAGATCTCTGTAAGGTATTCTAAAAGTAGGTTCCAGTTTGCATATTTGCATGAAATTATCCTTTCTCAAAGGGAACTAATGGCATGAAAATAATTTATGAAATAGGGAGTTATTTCTGACACATGAAACCCACTAATATCTGCTTTTTTCTAATGCATATTTCTTCTAGTTTAAATGTGTGTACACATTGAAAGCTGCATGGTGTGATTTATAGAGGTACATGGACCAACGTGTACATTGAACCTTGCATCCAAGGTTGCATCCAAGTGGCCTGCCTCAACCTTAGTCATGTTTCGGTATGACTACTGGTACTCACAAACGTGAAAATGGGCGACTTCTGTAACAATGATATCACAGAATTGACTTGTATTACGCTTTTTAAATCAATACCCTATATGTACTGAGTAATTAATTTTAATAAAAGATGATATAATCACAGTGTTGATTGGAAATATATTTCTTTGGTACTTGAAATTAAGGCCAGGTTTACATAGACTGAAATAAATTAAGACAAATTTTAATCTGCTACAAAACTTTTATGGAAAATTCACCAAGAAGTAATTCAAGGCTGTGAAGCATGGGACCCAGAGAGAAAACCTTTACCTGGGCTCTGTTCCCCAAGCTCTGAGTTAAATTTTAAGAACCATAAATTCACAAATATAAAATACAATTATACTTTCTTAAGTTGGAGGATTTAAAGTGTTCTAGCTTTTAATTTTGCCAGCTAAGGCTAGAAAACAAAAGTAGAACACCCCAAATTCTATCAGCATTATTATGTAAAAGAAAAGACATCTTTGCACCCAAACTGTAGGAGGAACATAGCAGAAGAAAGGCTAGTCACTTAAATGGAATGAATTTGACATGATGAAAAGTACATTGTTTGTCCTTTTTTTTACTCTCATTTCTTTTGTAGAAATGTAAACGTGTGTCTACAGCCCCCGATGATTTGGGCACTATCTGATGTACTTTCACACAGTGGTTGGATGGTTGTGGTGGCCATTCTGCAGGAAGAGGTGGTAGGTAGGGGAAGGATTGATTCTGTGAGGTTACAAAATAGTTTGTTTTCTTTTATCCCACTTAGGAAGTAGTTGAGTTCTTTTAAGAAATCCCTTAGCAATTTCAGAACTTCTGATCCATGGCTTTCACTGCTTCAGCTTGGCAAGCTTCCCTTGTAGTGGTCACTCGAGGATGGAGATGATGACACATGAAAAGAAAGATTGTACCAAAGAGAAACCCATGTGCTCCACACCTTCCCAAGAGTGAAGCATGATCTTTAGACTCAATGTTATGCTGGTCTGGTTTTATGTTCTTATGTGTGCTGGGAAAGTCTCAGGACCCAAAAAGAGTAGGGGAGAAGAGTATTGATTTCGTATGTGGAATTAGCTCACCTCCCAACACAGGACACTGTCTTTTCATTTGTTTCTTATATTACACATGACGATGTATGCTATTGTGCTTTGCCCTATGTCAATCACACATGCACTTGGGTTAAATAAATAAATGCTAAAGAGGGCGTTCTTGCTCAAATGAGGTCCGGCTCCAAAGAGATGAATTCTGAACTCTCAGTTGATGTTGATTGTCCTTAAATACAGTAGAACTGAATTTGCTATGGAGTGGACATCGAGGCTAGTACTGAAGGTGCTGATTTCATGGGGTGGAGGAGATTTATTGTGACGATACTATCACACAGGAATGAAATGACTTAAGTAATATTATAATTTCTTCACTCTATTGACCAAAAATTACCTGCAATTAGGTGTTCCTGCATTCTGTACTTTGTTTTGTGGTTTACCAACATCAAAACAAGTTCTCAAAGCTTTTTTTTTTAATATGTTGGAAACCAATTAAGGGGAAAAAATAATAAAGGGTTCACCATTTTGTGACATTCTAATATTTTTTAATTAGTCACCTATGTCACTCATTTTGTGACAAACATAAACATGAGCAGAGTTTAAGCTGTGGAAGTATGAGTATTCTTTACATTGCTGTTTATATGGCAAAAAAGTAGAAATGTACCATTGTGTTATTGCCATGACTAGATTTAAAAAAAGTTAAATATGATGAATGGCATTTTACTACTTTCCCCACTTTTTCTCTTACATGGGTATTGAGTAGCAAGTAAAATGGGTGATATAAATGATGATCCTAAAAGGATACAAAGCAAACTTGTCTTCAGTGTGCTAAAGTTTTCAGACATACCATTCTGTGCATTTATTGGGTGCCAGCCATGTGCCAGTTACTCTTGGGTTCTCTAGAGAAACACAAAAACCAGCAAAGTATATATATATATTTATAGAGAGAGAAAGAGAGAGAGAGAAATTTATCTTAGATAAATGGCTCACAAGCGTGTAGAAGCCGACAAGTTCAAGCT